TGTCGCAGCGGAGAGAAAACAGGCTGCCTACCTCGCAACGTTACGATCGACCACAACACGTGCGGGATGGGATAGATACCGAGAGTTGAAGAGGGAAGCAAGACGCATTTGCAGACAAAAAAAAGAAAGAGGCCGAAATGCGTGAGTACGAAGAACTTGATAAATTGGCCGACACGGATAATGCTCGAAAATTCTACGATAAAATGAGACGGCTTACAGAAGGTTTCAAGACCGGAACATACTCTTGCAGATCCCCCAAAGGTGATCTAGTCACCGATGCCCAGAGCATACTTAAATTACGGATGGAACACTTCTCCAGCCTGCTGAATGGCAGTGAACACACAACGCCAGGAGAAGAGGAACAAGATTCCCTAATCGATGACGATGGAGCAGACGTTCCATTGCCCGACCATGAAGAAGTTCGAAAAGCAATTACCCGCTTGAAGAAGACCAAAGCGACGGGGGCCGATGGATTGCCGACCGAGCTATTCAAACACGGCGTCTTTGTAAAATATGTTCGGACGAAAGCATGCCCAACGATTGGAATTTAATTGTGCTATGCCCTATCCCCAAAAAAGGAGACCCCACAATCTGCGCCAACTACCGTGGGATTAGCCTCCTCAACATCGCATATAAGGTTCTATCGAGTGTATTGTGTGAAAGATTGAAGCCCACCGCCAACAAACTGCTTGGACTTTATCAGTGTGGCTATAGACCTGGAAAATCTACAACCAACCAGATATTCACCATGCGCCAAATCTTGGAAAAGACCCGTTAAAGAAGCTGCTTTCGACAGCAAGAAAAGGAGCTGCCTTTATGCCGCGATGTCTGAATTTGGTATCCCCGCAAAACTAATATGGCTGCATAAGCTGACGTCGAGCAACACTAAAAGCTCCGTCAGAATCGGGAAGGACCTCTCCGAGCCGTTCCATACCAAACGAGGTATCAGACAAGGCGATTCTCTATGGAGAAAATATTGATATCATCGGCCTCAACACCCACGCCGTTAGTTCTGCTTTCTCCAGGACCAGGACAAAGAACAAAACAAATGGGTCTGGAAATATCTCCTGTCATCAAACAAACAGTCGTCGAACTCGCACTTGGCACTCACGTCACTTTTGATAGTCATAACTTTGAAGTCGTAGATAATTTCGTCTATCTTGGAGCCAGCGTAAATACCACCAACAATGTCAGCCTGGAAATCCAACGCAGGAGTAGAGGTCCTCTGCTTCCTCGGATTCCTTCGGCGAGTACTGCGTCGAATACTTTCAGAGCTGAAGTGATTTCGTCCATTCGGACGACATGACTTAGCCAGCGTAGCCGCTGTCTTTTAATTCGCTGAATAATTCATATGTCAATGTCAACGTATATCTCATAAAGCTAATAGTTCCATCGAATGCGATATTTTGGCCGTGGCCAACGCGCAAAGGACCATAAATCTTTCGCAGAACTTCTCTCTCGAAAACTCGCGATGTCGACTCATCAGTTGTTGACATCGTCCAAGCCTCTGCACCATATAGCAGGACGGGAATTATGAGTTTTTTGCCGACGGACCTTTTAGTGTTGCTCAACGTCAGTTTACACAGGCGTATTAGGATACCACATTAAGGCATAGGGGTATAAAGGGAGCTCCTTTTTGTGCTATCAAAAGCAGCTGACGAAGAGGTGGTGTTTGTCGCCATATGTAAAAGAGTTTCCGGCTACTGCCAAGTGAATGGCGCTCAGAGAACGGTTAACCGTATAGAAAATGAGCGGTTACACGAATAGTCCACGACTTACGACTATCCGGATACTGCAAACCGAATATTATTATTCGAATAATGGCCTATCTGGTTAGTCGATTAATCGAGTACCAATAGCTCTAATTCACATGTAAGAAATATTAAAACTTTGTATGAAAATTAAATTTTTTATACCCACCAAGGATATTCGAAAGGAGAAAATCTACAGAGAAGCTCCTGGAAACTTCTCTGGTAGTCAGTAAACCACTGCGGAGATACAACCGGACATACCTGCGAAAAACTCAGACTACTGATCGCATTTTTCACTGCCCAGTGCAAACTGAAGAAACACTTACACAACATGGGACAAGCTTTTTACGTGAATTGTCGGTTCTGAGACAGAGAGCCGTAGACACCAGAACACCTGACTGAACAGCAGTCTGCAGACGCAGGTTGAAGGCCCTTGGATTCATGTTTTCAAGCAGAGATCACATCGCTTCGTTAACACCCACCAGCATTCTAGACTTCTTCAATACGCTGAGGCGATGGTGAGCCATCATCCAACTATCTTACACCCCAAGCAGCTGGAAAAGAATCAAAGTGGTGTTCCTCCCTAAGCCGGTCAGAAGGCCACACGATAACGCAAAATATTTTCGACCCAAGAGCCTCAAATCTTTCATGCTGAAGGTTCTCCAAAAGTTAATACACTTGCATATAAGAACAATCCTAGCGGGTCCCTTGTCGAATGCACAACATGCATTCATTATAAATCGAAATCGCTCTACACGGAGTGATAAATATTATTAAAAAGTCACTAGATCACAAATATTATAGTACACAATGACGGTCTTTCTTGACATAGAAAGACCTTTCAACAATTAGTGAATCTTTGTCACATGGCGGCATAGACGACACGGTGTGCAGATGGACACGATCGATGCTAATGAACAGAAAGATCATAGCATCAAATGATTCAACTACATGAAAAAACTGGTATTTTCCTCTCGTTTATGGGTGACAGCGCTGAATAGAATAAGTATTATATATCGTATAAGTATTATAAATCAGACTATATTCTCCAATGTTATATTTCAAAATTCACTTCCTGGTGAGGATACTTTCTAAACGTGAGTATAGAAAGGGGTTTGGTAGAAGAGGATGATACACTCTCTATCTATACCGACGTGTCCAAAATAGACTGGGGAGAAACGGTACTGTCCTATCCAACTACAAAGCTCAGTCAGCATTTTCCATGCGGAAGTATTAGGTATAGAGAGGGCCTGTAAAGCTCTACTAAAAAATGCGGGATTCAGATAGCAAGCATATACGCCAATAGACACAGACACAGAATAATTTCAATGGATATCCACAAAAAGCATAGCAGATATAAGTAGTTTCATTGAAAGCACAAAGTGGTTTGAGCGCAAAAATGAAACGAGGTAGCAAGTTGTTAGAAGTCCGACGATAGTGCATCAGAATGACGCATCATACCTACCTACCATGAGAAGATGAATATGGAAAATGACCTAAGAAAATTCAAACCTAGCAGTCAAGAGAGATATCAGAGCTGGGTTTGCAATATTTATTTTTACAATGTGCTTAAAAAGCGGTAAAAACAAGTTTTTCAAGAATACTACTACAATAATGAAAATGAATATGAATAAATGCGTTAGCAATTGCCTTTATGAGAATAACCGGTAAAACATTAACTACAAGAAAGGTATATGAGGAGTTTAAAAAACGTAAGCATGGTAATGTATTTGTTTTGAATGGCGAAAAAACCCCGAGTACAAAGCCTTGTATCCTTATACAGGCAATAATGTTTTTGCCTTTATTCATAATTAATATTTTCACTATATTGAATAGTTTGTTATAGTCTAGTTTATATATAAATATATGTATCCGTGTAACTATAATGTACAACAGCTTTTAGCGGATATTAATAATTATAAAGTTATATCAACTAAGAAATTTCGCTAATGGGATTCTTAATGCAAATGGCAATAGACATAAACACTAATACATATAACCCTATACATCAAAATAAACATAAAGAAAATGTAGTAGGTCTCCAGCTAGTCACCAACAATGAAAATATTCATGCTCATCAACAATAAAATACCGACCTGGCACGTTGCATTGTTGACTGCTCTATTTCAGGTTGTACACAGATTTGCGGATTTGGCGTTATTGGACGCACCGGTTGCGCATTCTCCAACAATCCCGTTGGCATAGTAACGTGATCCGTTACCGACGATATCGAAATGGCGTTGACATCTTCACTATTTTTGGCCATGCTATCCCTCTGCACCAACCGATCCAACTTCTCACCCGATGAAGGCGACTGTTCATCTTGTGTATTTCCCATGACAATTCCAACGGAGGGCAAAAAGTCGTTTTCAGTAAAACCCGACTTTCCAGAACCAGCCTTATTAGTTGCAGCGAGTGCGAAGTCTACATCCGAATCAACTTCGGGCTCATAAATACTGCTGTCGTTCTCATCGCTGTCTGTGCTACTGTGGGAATTGCGCTCCGTACGACCCACAGAAAACGTAGCTTTCTCAGCTTCCACGGCATGTTCTATTGAAGTTTGTGACTGACGCATGACCTGTGGATTTATTTTGGCTATTTCATTTGCCTGTTTCTGATTGTTGCTGCTTGTATTGGGATTTCTGTTTTTATTCGGATTAAGTGACTGTCCCAATTTGGAAAATTGACCAGCAACATTAAATATTGCTTTCGAACTGATTTGTACGAGTTGAGATTCGGAGAGATTGCGCGGCATGCCCTAAAATTAGCCGATAATGTAACGGTAGAAAAAATAGACATTAAGGATACGCATTTAATGAGGCATTTATATAATAGCGGCAACGTAGCAAATTGTCAACTTCTGTTAAATCTCGGTGGCAATTTTGTAATAAGACAACTGTTTGCGACATTAAATGAGTGTTACTATTTTATAAAATTACCTTTGGTGCTTCTAGCATGGGATTTCTACTTTTTCGACGCTGCAAAACACCCCCAGTGATGTATTGAACATCAGACTTGCCTATATTGTCAATGGCAATGCGGAACATGTCAACAATGGACATAAGAGATTCTGTAAGAGTAGGTATGGAAAAACTATATACTATGAAGAATACTGATGTCAAATAACCAATGCTTACCCATAACTTCTTCCTGCGTTTTAATCACATAAACCATATTATTAAAGAATCGTATATTCGCTGAACGAAACATGTGGAAATATCCGTCCACGCCGTCGACAGTATAGTTGAGCCTTAAACAGAGCAAAGCTGGCGCAGAGCCTTGAAACAATTTCGTTTGCTGATACATGCCCAACTCTATTAGCGTGATATTCTGTAACTGCACTTTTTCGAAACGCACAATCTTATCCAAGTGTGAATCATACTCGGCTACAATGTAGCAATCATCGGTGAGCAACAACACAGTATCCACATCGGTTTCGTTGAGGTCACCAGTACTACAAGATAAAATAAAGAGAGTTTTGATGAAACTGGGAATAACTCTCAAAAATTTCTACATACGTTGGATCAGCATCGATGAGACCCCACGACCCCACAGGATATTGCGCGGAACCAAGCAACAAACGACGACAATCATCTACGAGCAATTTTGCTTGCTCTGCACCCTCTAAAGCGTCGGTTTCGTCAGGTACAGTCTGACCGCCTAACGCATTCAATGACTCGGCGGAAACTTGATTTCCGAGCATGAGATCGATGGTGGCTTGACGATAGGAATCTTTAAAACGCGCGAGATAATAACTGAAATTTAACCACAAGAAAACAAGCATGACACAAATAGTGAGTAAATAAAAAAATACACAGATATAAATCAAAATAAAAAAATAAAAAATATATTAAGCCCATGCAATAAAATGGTGATATTGTGATTAGAGAATAGGCAGTAAAGAGAACTTATAAATAGCATAATAACCAAAGTAAGAAGAGCTTAAAACAAAATTAATGAAATTCAAAAGAATAATACCTTTTTAAACGATAGAAGTAATACAACGGAAACAATAGGAGCAACAAAGTTAACTAAATAACTAGATTTCAACTGCGCTTTTGGTTTAGCTGGTGCTGCGCACCTTGCGTTAACGATATTTTCCAGAAAATGCAATTCCGGACCAAGCACACCGGCGTGATAGTAACCGTGTGTAGGCGCCGGGGCAGACGAGCAGAGAATACATAATATTGTCTTCATAACTTCATCCTCTTTCAATTGATCAGCTTCGACCAGCTTGCCTTGCATTAAATCAATTATGCATTGCCGGAAGGAATCAGCGAAATTTTGAATGAAGAAACTACGAAGAACGAATTTTTAAAGGTGGTATTAAGAAATGTTGCTTTCAATGAAATGCAGGTTTTGCATCATAATATTAAATGCAAGTAAATTGAAATGTATAATACGATGCATATGAACTGGAAAGTAGCAAAACATTTGGAGCAACTATGTGTTGGATAATCAAACAAGAAATAGCAAAAATTACAAATAAAAATGCGTTTCTAATAAACGAGATTAATTAACCTTAACTATAAATTGATATCAACTTCAATACGAATAGCGCCAAAAATATATATAACTAACCGATTTGCCGAATTCATCCCGTCCTTCATCATGCCACTTATTTTACGCTCGCCGGTGCGCGTATAATCGCCCTAAAAGCAAAGAAAATATAAATTAATGTGAAAATGTATATGCATATAAAGTTGCATTGAGCACCTTTAGCGCATTTGTTCCCGCATATTGTCGGCTTATTATATCACCATTGTTGGCCCAAAGTATCATAAATGGTGATTTTAATTGTTCCGGTATCGGTGTATATGGTGGCGATAAGCCCAACTTAACCAGTTGAGATTCCAGCACAGCCTTGCCTATTGCCGTCTCTACAACATTTGTGCGATCCAAACAATCCATACAATTAACCCGAAATACTGATTTTTGATTACAAATAACACCACGCTGATCACGCCAATGAAAACCCATTGCGCCTGCTTCGGGAGCAAGTGCTTCCACGAGCGCAGAAACATTTTCAAAACGCATGCCGCGGCTGCAAAGGAATGTTAACAACTATATTGGAATATGTTATAGCCATAAATTACGAGATACGTACCAGTAATCGTGGAAATCAAAAGTAACATATGTCAAACGATCATTATTGTATAACACGACATGCTTTGCATACGTGTCTCCAATCAATTTCTCCTTACCGCTCTGCTCAACCAAATTGACAATGCAAACACCATCATACAATGAAATTTCTTTTGTGAAATGCAATTCGAATGCCTCCTGCGTTTCTTGTTCACCTTCAAAATTATGCAAAAATAAAGTTAATACTCAAAGAGATTGAATTCACCACCTACCCCTGTCCAAACGTGGCGGAGGTCGATATTTGTAACCTGGCTGACTCCAAAAGATGGGCACTGAACCACGTACCTGTGTGAATGACAAATGATGGTGGCGAAAAGATAATATTTGCTCCGTTTCGACATAATTGGCGCAATTACCCTCCTCGTCGACGCCACGTCGCTTATATCTAAAAAGATAAAATAAAAGCAACTCAGTAATGAGCAAGACAAATAAGCATTAATGCAGCAACATTTACCTAGTGCCAGCGCGATATCGTGACCTGCGCGATACCAGCGCTAATGTAAAGCATTCATTACCTATCACGCAAGGTTCCACCTGCACGAATCCTTGTATAACTGGCAATATCCATGTATTGTCCTGCAATATACGAGTTTACAATCATTTAAATACAACTTCAATATTCCATGCGGATAAAATACTTACCTTGAACTTCAAGATCCCAGCAATCATATGCATATTCCAAAAGAAACGTTCATCACTTTGTTGCCTTTGTTCACCGCCAGCACTTTGTCGCTGCAAATTATTGGTGATGTCGCTGTCCAAACTGAAGTAGAAACTATCTGTATCATCAAATATCTTATGCAGCTCTTCGGTGATGCGCTTTTCAATACGCGAAGGATCACGTATACCCACAGAAGACTTCATCTGATTAGACGCCAAAGCCGCAGCTTGCTGGGTGGTATTCTTAATAGTGTTACCCGCATTCTTTACAGCGCCCCATGTTTTGTTCATCAGCTGTGCACCTTCAAACAGCTTCGTTTTCGTAGTGGAAGTGGATGTTTTGTTGGTGCTGCTTATAGTGGAAGTATTCGATGTTGGCCGGTGTGTAGGCGTGCTATTTGCACTTCTACTTGGACAAATGTTGAAATAAATAATTTATAATTTCCAGTTTTTGATTTTGTCCTCACCTAGAATGCCTTGTGCAAGAAGTTAATACTGTGTCCGGTTCGTCAGAGCTCAAAATGCAAATCGATTTGATTTTATACACTAAACTTGGAGCATAAAGTACACCGACGGGCGTGGCCTCCTTCACAATCACCAAGTGCGATTCGTAGACATTTGGTAAGCTGATGACACCAACAATGCCATGTGTAATGCCGATACACTCGATGTCATCCACTGAGGACAAGTCCCAGCCTAAAAATACAGGAAATAAAGAATTAACTGGTAGTAAAAATGCTTTGATTACAATAATATCCGAGCAACCAAACCGAACAATTAGATACTATGTAACTTATCTCAAAAATAAATACGCAATAAAATTTTTCATTTATCAACAGAAAACAAAAATCGGTAACAATCAAAAGAGATAAGGCGCTTTTTATAGGCGTTAACCGCATATAATTCTGCAGTAATTACCGAGGTTTATGTTTTTCAATCACCAAAAAGACTGTTGACAGAGAATAATTCTTGCTTGATTTTGTATTACTTATAAAGACTATAATAATGATTAATTCAAAATAAATATATTACGGAAATTAGATAACTAATACGATTTCTGATAAATACAAATAAAACTGATAAATAAAATAAATTTGTATATTAAAGTACTTAAGCAATCACATAATAATTTATTCAATATGAGAGTAAGTTCACCAGCATGTCCTTAGACTGTATTCGAAAAGAAACGTTTTATCGTATTTTGAATCTTATTATTTATATTTAAACAAGAAAAAAAATTAACTTTGGTTACACCAACTACCCTTTACAAATAAAAAATTCTATATACAAGAATATTAATTTATATATTTTAAAGGGTCTTTGAGGTTTCCTTAATATACCCTGTTCAGGGTATACAAATATTGTCCGTACAGTTTATATATATGTATATTGATTTTCATAAAAACTATTTAGTATTGCTAAATCTGTTAATATAGAAGTTATGTACAAGTACACAAGACTCTTTAATGCCCCGATCCAGAAAACAGACAATTCCTAGCACTATATCAAACGTGTAAACATTCGCTTTTCCATATATAAACTAAAGCTCCGATTTTATACAATTCGCTTTTTCTATTACAAAGGGTTCAAGTGATTTCTTACCGTATCCTTTAGAACAGTCACAGTCAGGTATATACATACATGTACATAGCAACACAACGCACGGTCGAGTTTAGAATATGAGTGAGCATGTGAATTGCGTGTACAAACTTCTTATTTCGTTTCAGACTCATACTCTGTATTTGTTTGTACTTAATCATCAATTTTTGAATCGCGACATTGAATTGTACTTTAATCTCATCAACATAAACTGTAATTAAACGTTTAATTTTAAGAAACAAACTTTGCGTCTTGCTCCACTAAGCCCAACATTTCTATCAACACTATCCAGTATCGGAATGGGGGAAAAATGACGAAAATAAAAACAATATTTTCCTATACAATAGATATGTGGAACACATAGAACATTAAAATTTATATGTGCACTATGTACTCCAATTAACAATATTTGAAAGTAAATAAACTCGTTTCATGCCAAAGCAGAGCGTATTATAGGGGTTACCTCAAGTATAGTATATGTAATCGAGTTTGCCTTCAACTAAATACATATGGATATTAATCGATGGAAAAAAATAATTAATGCGTAATCAAAAATATTTTCTACGAAAATTGTACATCTATGAAACTCATTTTATGCACAAAGGCAACAAAGACTAAATTTCTTATCATGTTATCTAATTGAAAGTATATAGGTATATATATATATTCCTACCTGCTTTAATTGTAAACTCAGAGGTTTTCCGATGCCACCACAGACTTTTTTCGCGTTTCACGAAAATGTAATAATTATCAGTTTGAAAAACTTCCATTTTCACGGGTCACAAAATTACACCACTCTATATTTAGCAAACTTTCTAGTAACTTTTATTTTTATACACCAGCTTCATCAATTTGCAGTTTTTATTAGCAGACCAACCAAAATGATAATTTAACCTAGCGTATGGCTTCCAAGAAGAACTCGAAGATATATGAATATGAATCAGTAAACAAATGACAGAAAACTATTTGTCAAAAGACACAGCTGATCGGTACTGCCACCCTTATTAACTAACTTCAGCATTGCCGTTTTGTCCGATTGTTCCAAAATTGATAGATTCATTGGATTTTGGTAATAAGCGCGGTAGGCATACAGTTTTGGAAGGCAATAATTTGTATTAGATTTCTTTAGCATTTATAATTTCTTGATTATTAAAATTGTTATGAATGGGAACAGCCAGCTCAATGTGTATAAAATGAGCACTATACCATACATTTTCACAACCATAAAATTTGCAACTAAGTAAACGTTATTATTTTCCGGATACTGCCTTCTTTGCGTTAAATTTATTTTTTTATTTAAAAATTGGGGCATGCTTTTATTTTTTCGTTAATGAAAGTTTTTCATTAAAAATTGTTAAATATAATTTATTTAACAATTGTAAAAAATGAGTACGTTTTTTTTTTACAATTCCCATGCAAATCTGACAACTCTTGCAACTTATTGCTGCAGAATATAATAGTTTTTGTTTTTTTAGCGGTTGTATGTATCTCCTAAAATTAAAAGATATAGATATAGAGTTGCGCATATACATACATATATGCGATCAGGATGACGAGATGGGTTGAAATCCGGGTGACTCTTGATGAAACTGCGCGTATGCGCGTTTCTTGGCAAAGACGTAAAGACGAGTTCGTACTATAAGAACTTGTACCGATATCGTGAAAATGAATGATAACTACTAACAGCGAAATAAAGCAATAACTAAATACGTAAGAGACATTAAATTTTATCACTAAGATGGTATGGGAGGGCAAAAATCTAATCAGGAGAATCTCCTTTATCCGACCATTCCCATTTTATTTCCGAAATTCTGGTACGGAATACTAAAGCCGACCCATATTTTTTGTTAACCTAAAGTAATAAATACTCTAAAAATGTTAAATATTATTTGGCTTACAAAATGGAAACATATGTTCACTTGCAAAATAGAAAGACTTTTTTGAGGATTTTTTCGACTATCAATATCAAAGCTCAAAACTGCGCATCATTTTAATCAATTTATTTATTTTTCAATTGCTATTCAAAACCAACGGATTCGTTATTTGCGGCATCCTTTTTGTTTTGTCAAAGCAAAAATTTAACGAATCTTCAAATCCAATCAAAAGACTTCTTTAGGTAGATCACTCAAATCCAATCAAAAGACTTGTTTAGGTAGATCATTCTTTTTGGGAAGACACATCAGATGGTAAGCCGTAGGTCTAGAATTCCTGATTTTAGTTCAATATTTTTTAATACTCATGGTGACTATAAGAAGACAGTAAGAAGAAGAGCACAGGTATATCAGCTGATTTGGTCAAAATTGTGCACAGGTGATTCTTCCATATAAGTATGGCGTTTAATAATTTAAAAAAAATAAATGCTTTGTTAAAATTTTCAAACTTTCGGTGTGTGTTGAATGCTTTCAAGCAATTACATAATGGCCAACAATATAACAAATATGAACATAAAAGTAGGAAGCAAACAGAAAGCAGTCAGGGCAGTATTTGGAGATCCAATTTTATACCGATAGCTGCTGTTTCAGCATTATCAGCTTACCTAGTTTACAAACAAAAGGACTATATTATACCACATGTATCTGCTTTCACATCTCCTCCCCTTTCAGGACGACGAAAGCAATATAATTTTCTTGCTGACGTAGTGCACGCATGTGCACCATCCGTGGTATATATTGAAATTAAAGATATGCGTCAATTTGACTACTATACTGGAAAACCAGTCACTGCGTCAAACGGTTCAGGGTTTATAATCGATTCTAATGGACTTATACTAACCAATGCACATGTAGTTATCAATAAGCCGCACACTATGGTGCAAGTAAGATTAAACGATGGTCGCACTTTTCCTGGTGTTGTGGAAGATATAGATCAAACGTCTGATTTGGCTACGGTTCGTATTCAGTGTAAAGATTTACCAGTCATGTCTCTCGGGCAAAGCTCTACATTGCGCTCAGGTGAATGGGTTGTGGCTCTTGGTAGCCCTTTAGCTTTGAGTAATACAGTTACAGCCGGCGTTGTTAGTTCGACGCAAAGACCGTCGCAAGAACTCGGACTGAAAAATCGTGATATTAATTATATACAAACCGATGCAGCCATTACTTTCGGAAATTCAGGCGGGCCACTTGTAAACCTAGATGGCGAAGCTATAGGTGTAAACTCAATGAAAGTAACAGCGGGAATAAGCTTTGCCATACCAATTGACTATGTAAAACTTTTTCTAAATCGAGCTGAAGAACGTAGAAGACAAGGTGTTAGCAAAATGGATTATCCCGCCAAACGTTATATGGGAATAACAATGCTTACGCTAACACCCGACATACTTTTTGAATTAAAGAATCGCACACAGAATGTGCCAAGTGACTTAACCCATGGTGTTCTGGTGTGGAAAGTAATCATTGGATCGCCGGCACATACGTAAGTTATCGCCAAATTAAGTGATTATTACATCTATAATCTTTTGCTCTTTTCAGTGGTGGTCTTTATCCGGGTGATATAGTTACGAAAATTAATGATAAGGAAATTAAAAATTCATCAGATGTTTACGAGGCTTTAGCATTGAAGACAAAGTCGCTTGATATAACGATTTTTCGTGGCTTGAAGAGGATGACTGTGAAAATTGTGCCAGAAGACCCTTAAAAAAGCGTATATTCGCGATTGTCTTCATTCATCACAACCATATTTCCCATCGCCGTTAAAGTTCAACTGCACTGCCCCAGATAGCTGGCAGCTAAAAAATAGCCGCCATTATTTGCCTGTAGATATATGTTTGTAGGACCTTTATTTTAAGCAGTAAATAGGTTCATTCAAGAATGAAAGCAAACAAATATAAAAATAATTTAAAACAATGCAATTTAAAAGTTATTTGACGAAAACTATTAAATATTTGGTATGTTCAATATCTGCTAATATCTAACTTTCGATGCATAGACCGAACTGTCAAAATATCAGGGGCTCTTATGAAAGTTAATGAACCCCATTACATTAGTCGTAAATGCCCATTATAAACAAAATTACCATTGATACTTATTGCTTAATAATAACGATTTTCAATTTTTCCTAAGATCACTGAAGTATCAAATATGTTATCGACTGCAAAATAAGCATTTAACCTTTGATTGCAAATATTAACAGTTAAACTAGATTAAGACATCTTAGGGAATAAAGACTCAAAAAATTGTAAATAAATAAAAAATTTTACACCGATAAACGAAAAGCTAAAAACCCTACTTACAAAAAAAAAAAAAAAAATATATACATACATATGTATACATATGCATATAAGCAATGGTTTTTCAAAATCGAACAAGTAGGGAACTTAGAATCGGGTGTAACCGATCATTTTATACTTTCGAAATTAAATGCATACGTTCAGGCTTTGTCAAAATTTATATTATATAGAAAGGGATTCTTTGTGATTTTCATTAAGATTTCCTACATATCGGTTGTTTTTGTTGTTGTTTTAACGGTTTCTTAATCACCGTTAAGATGGTAAGGGTTATCTATGTTGTCGTCGATGTCATGTAGCGGTAGGCCCAGGGAACGTGCTGATTCGACGGGGTCGGACTAAAGGGAAAAGGGTGTTAGATGAGTAGGGTTGGCAGGGCATGCAAAGAGGTGGTCAGTGGCATGCAGGACATACAGTCGGTATATTCTGAAGGTAGGAGTTTAACCTGCTACAATATCCAGAAGGAAGTTGCGCTAGGGTCACTCGCGTTTATCGCGCCAACTCGAGCTCTTCGTCTGCGATGGGTGGTGGTTTGACTCCAAGAACATACATCGAGTATGCCGGATCGGGTAATGTTGGCAACAGCAGTCATTCTTGTGAGGACCAGCTGTGGAGAGTACCTGCCGGCAAGAACCTTACTGGACTCAGCATCACAAGTAAATTTTATGACAGAGCATTTGGCCCAAAAACTGCGGATCCGTCGCCAAAACGGGACCTTAAATATTATAGGAATTGGAAATTCCAGTACGAAAGTCGCGGCCAAATTAGGCGCGTTTATTAAGTCGCGGGTTAATAATTATGAATTTTCAGCGAAATTCTGGATTTGCGATGCATTTCGGCTAATCATCCAGACCATACCATTAATGTTAATGGTTGGAAAATGCCGCACATTATTGAATACAATACAGAATTCCACACATCCCAAAAAATTGAGATCTTATTAGGTGCAGAAATGTTTTTCGATCTGTTAGCGGTTGTCAATATGTCAGACTAACGCTAGTCCTCCTCCCGAGGCAACTAGCACCATTTCTCGCAACACGATGGTTCAATGGCCATTAAGAGAGTCTTTTATGTTAATGATTTATTAACAGGATACGAACATTTCGAGTCTCTAGATGTTTTGAGAAGTGAGGTAATTAAAATTTTAAACTCGGCCGGATTCACCTTAACGAAATGGTTTTCGAACCACCCAAAATTTGTCGACAGTAATTGCACTGAGAAGTCATTAAACCAATGACAAAGATTCTACTAAAACGTTGGGAATCCATTGGTTGCCGAAAGAGAATTTGTTTTGATTTGTTTCAGACGACAATTTTAATGATCTGCGAGCCACTAAATGAAATATATTATTAGTTTCTGCTCGCCTCTTCGATCCTCTTGGATTATTAGATCCACTAGTTATCAAAGCAAAAATCTTCTTTCAAGAGCTTTGGATTCAGACTCTGAAATTGTTTTACATTGGATAGAAACACATCCTTCCACATTATAAACCTTCGGCGCAAATAGAGTGTCCGAAATCCAAGAGTTAACTGACAAAATGCATTGGCGGCATGTGCCAACAAAACAAAATCCTGCGGATCAAGTGTCAACGGTTGTAACGTGGACGAATTAAATAATTCGATATGGTTTGGCGGTTCACAGTTCCTCCTAGAAGACCCTGCATTATGACTAATTAACACCCACTTCCAGCTCTCACCAGAAGAC